AGAGCCAACGTCCGAGGCACAATTTTTGTTAGTCGACTATACTTATGGAAAGCATACCCGGTCTGTTATCTAAGAGTGTTGGGTAGTTAGTTCGGTGAAAGATGTCAGCTATTCGTTGGCTAGAAGCATCGAGTAATAGCTAGCATGTTGAGGTTGACAGAGGGATGATAATAACAACATGCATTGATGAGCTCAAAGTGAGCTCCGCAAACTCAACAGTCTGTCCAGCACCCTTTTTATAGACCTCCATATCAACCAGTAGACCAATCACGGCACTGCTCTCGATCTCGAGTACGACACGAAGGCATGGGGCTTACCAGAATTCACGAGACAGAAAAAATGATATCATAGTCATACTGCACGGAAGCAATCCACGATAGTTATCGTACTGTACAGCGATAGAATAACAGGCTATAAGGAAAACGACGAATCTAGCGACCACTCTCCCCGTCAATCACTCATGTCCATAGTCACGAGCTATACAAGATAACCTAGTTGAGAAGTGTCGGATAGTTTACACGAGATATGGTGACAATCTCAATTTGCAGAAAAGGGGACTAAGAAACAGCTGGTGTCGTTGCCTGTTTGATTCACATACTACTATGGATGAGGTTAAACAGACTGTGCAGATTTATAATCACGACGAGAAACGATGATCAAGAATGACTATAATGGCTCAAGTAGTCCTCAGCGATCTCTTTGTCGAGTCGATGAGCTAACCCTCTCAATTCACCCAGCTTCGACAACGGCGTAGAGAAGACGACATCAGCGAGCCAGGTTGGTAGTCCTTCCTCTGGACCCACTATATGCTGGCCCTCCTTGATGAGAACCGTGTTAGAAAGAACTGTGACACCCTCGATGGAGTCCCACCGGTGCGAGAAGGACAAGTTTAGAATAGTCCCAGATTTGAGCGCGTTGACAGAAATGCACACAACGGCTTTGCGCTCATCCACTGGCAGCAGTGGGGGTAAACTAGGCAGACCAAGAGCGATGAGAAGTACTTCATCGACTAAATCAACACCCGTAGCAGCCTTCTGTTGGTCTCGAAGTGGTCCACCACCCATTCTAGCATTGACCTCGATCAGTCGAGGGCCCCGGCTAGTGTACTTGGCCTCTACGTGGAACACTCCACTTGTGAAACCCATGGCGATGACGGACTTCACAGCCAGGTCTTCAAGAGCAGCCACCTGGTCGGATGGTAGTGTACTGGGGAAGATGTCCCACGTTTCGTTAAAATGAGGCTCAAGTGTTGGACCATTATCATGCACACAGACGTAGGTGGCAACTCCATCACTCATGACTATATTCACGTCGACCTCGGAGCCATCTAGATACTCTTCCAACATAAAAGAG